TATTCAGAAATGTTTATTTTTAGTTTATTTGAATGAAGATTATTTCTATTTATATTTGTAAAATACATAATCTATACTAGTATATATAAAGAGGTGTAGTTTGTGAGGTTGTAGGGGTAATCTTTGGATCTACTAAACCGATTTTGGAAATTATCTTATTGTTGGATAACCCAATTATTGAGACTCTTTCTCAATAATTGGATTATCCATTATATCTTTGAAATGGCTGGACCGATTTTGACGGGACTTTTTTTGGCAGAGAGCTGATGTAATAAGGAGTATGTAGTAAACCATTGAGGTTACATAAAAGAAATTTTCTAGTAATGCAACAGGTATTCAGCATGTTAATTATAAATATTATTTTTTTTGATTTGAATTGATTTAAACGAAAGAAAATTATGAATTTTATATGATTAGGTACTAGTTGTCCCGGAAAACTTTGTTTTGCCATATAAATTAATAACGCTGTAAAAAAAGTAGGGGTTTGTGATAGAAGGGTGAAAATATAGGGTTGTATGTATTTTTTAATGACACATAATAAAAATATATAAATAAATAATTTTGTGCAAAAAATAATGTTAGGGGTGGACAACCCTTATCACTTAGGGGTATGAAAAATAGATAGTAGCCGATTCACAGACCTACTGAATATGCATATAAAATTTCATAAAAATCGGTCAAGACGTTTCAGAGGAGTATGGTAACTAACATTGTGACACGAGAATTTTATATATAGGATTTTACATATATATATGTACCTTATGTACCATGTTACCTTATGTCCCGTTTAATTTAAATACAAAAGAAAATAACGTTAAAACTTTACAGAAAATGTTTAATACAACAATAAAAAAAAATGTTATAACTATTCTCAAAAGTGCTTAAATTAAGTTTATTTGAATAAATGATTTTCTATTCTATTCTACAACAATTACAAAATCACTTACTGGCACCGGCCTCCGTAACAAGACTTTTTCATTTGCACCCCTCCCCGCCACTTCTGAAGCCATTTAACTTCGTTCATCCCTTACCTACCCACCCCATCCCTTTCTCTCAATTCCGGCTATTTACTCTTGTAAAGTGATTTAGATTTATACAAATTGATACTTTTTCACTTTGTTATTCATTTATGGAAACAAATAAAATTTATGTGTTTGTTTGTTTATTATGGATTCTACAGACGGAGGTTGTAAAAAAGGTCCAACCTTTTTCTTAATTTTTAAATTAAGAAAAAGGTTCTTCTTCTTGAAAAACCCCATGCTTGGGTTTTTCAAGAAGGGTATATTAAGGTTACTTAAGGGTCGGCAACGCGCATATGACACCCCTGGTGTTTCAGGCGTCCATAGGCTACGGTAACCGTTTACCATCAGATGGGCCGTATGCTTGTTTGCCACCTAAGTGGTATAAAACAAAAATAGAAATAGAAATAATCTTTACTCAAATAAACTTAATATAATCACTTTTGAATAGTCAAGTTTTTTTATTCTAACGCTTATTCGGAATGCATATTCATCACAAGAGGAATAAGCAAGAAACTTGTGTGTTGCTCTTTTAAATAAATATTGACTTACTTATATTTAATTATTGACAAGGATTAGGCATGCGACACATAGATAAAATAATAGATACAATACTTATAGTTCGATGTTAGAATAGATAATGAATTTACTTTATATAATTACATAAAAATGAAATCTACCTATTGGCATGACGAGATATGGCGAGATCTGATCTCATTGCTGATCAAGTATTTGGTGCCGCGTGCACTGTTATTGGGGACAGTGCAAACGCTGCGTATGGGGACAGTCCAAATCCTCGTATACTTACCAGGTTCTTTATAGTTAATTACTAGCTACAGCTAGCGACTTCGTCCATGAGGAATTTAACTTAATTTTTTAAAGAAAAAGTAGCCTAAGTTACTCCTTATTACATCAGCTACCTGCCAAAAAAAGTCCCGTCAAAATCGATCCAGCCATTTCAGAGATTAGCCGGAATAGACAGACAAAAATTGTAAAAAATTTTATTTTGGTGTATGTACCGTATTTAAATCTACCATCAGTTCGGAATGCTATCGAGATGAGGAGAACTGACAAGGAACTCAGCTCGTATTCTTTTCAAATGAACTTGTACATAGCTGATTTGATTTCAAATCAAATCAAATCATATTTGGTTTGACAAATCGTCCCGACAGCAACTGATTCTGCAATAAATGACTATTGTAACGTAACGCGCGAGTTTATAATAAAGTTATCAAAATTATCACACCGAGTTCATAATTTACATATATAGAATTCATTATATAAGTTATCCTTGTTAACATTATAAATGAGAAAGTAACTCTGTCTGTCTGTCGCGCTTTCACGCGAAATCTACTGAACCGGTTTAAATTAAATTTGGTATAACCTCTATAGAAAGTCAGACAAAGATCTAGACCCTGAGAAATGATATAGGCTACTTTTTATTGCGAATGAAAGGGTTGTAAGGGGTTGAAAGGGGAGATATCAAGGGGGTTGAAAGGTTGTATCGTCATTTTTAAAGCTAGGAGCTTGAATCTTTTTTTAGGCTGTTGATTAAATGTTAATAAATGCAATATTCGAAATTTGTAAATATTCACCCTTAAATTGAAATTGAAATTGAAATTCAAAATATCTTTATTCATGTAGGTCTATTACAGACTCTTATGATATGTCAAATCTACCGTCAGTTCGGAATGATATCGAGATGAGAAGAACTGACAAGAACCTCAGCTCGTATTTTTTTCAAATAATAGTGGAACATGTTTATAATAATATACAGTCATTAAAATTCAAATTTGGGAGAATAGAGTGACCACCAGCATATGCTATCGCAAAGAACAAAAAATTTAATCAGTGTTCACAACCTGAACAGACCAGTCCCCACAAGCAGCACCCGTTCACGAGTATGACGTATGAGCCAGCCATCATTGTACTCAAGGGGGTGAAATAAAATAAGGGATCAAAGCGTGTATGGAAATTATTACGTTTTACGATGAAACTTTTTTTTTTCATTTTGTTTGTAAAATAATTAAAAATTTATATTGACATTTTATAATTTAATTACATAATTCACTCAATAAAATATTACAAAAAACAATCATTTTCTTTCTTTCTTTCTTTTCTGTTAGCCTTTGGGCAAAATAAATTCGTCACGTTTGGAGCTGAAATATACGAAAAAAATTTTTCTTGGGCTGGTAAAACCATTTTGTTTGCCGCCTGTGTTGCTGCCGTGCCAGGACGAGAGGACGATCCAGACACAATAATTAAAAAGGGTCATATATCTCGCGAACAATTCCATAAGGCCATTTATTTTGAGAATTTTTGTTAATTTGAATAAAAACAAATTCCCCGCGCGGACGATGTCACGTACAACAGCTAGTATCAAATAATTAATTATTGCCTGTTTTTTTTCTGTAATTGCAAACACATACGGACAGACAGAAATCTAAGTACCATATAAACTTTAAAGCTGTTACTTTGAAATACAAACAGATACTTAAATTTTATTTATATGTATATAGATAGCGGTGTAGACACTTAAAATAAATAGAAACAAGTAATAAAATAGTTTAGAATGGTTCATCGCCCCTGTAATGGACGAGTTGGGGGTTGTAGAACAGGGTTGTATATTGAATCCACGCGTGGGGGTTGTTAAACAAGCTGACCACAAATTCTTGTGTCTCAAGTATTATTGTTGTAAACTTGTCGCCGAATTTCAAGAAACTACAATAATGTAGCTCACTAGCTGTGCCCACGATTTCACTCGCGTGAAATTGATAGCCAATATGTTATTCTCATGTATAAGCTGTATTACTGTAAAGTTTCAACAAAGTCTGTCGAGTAGTTTTTGTGTGAAAGAGTAACAAATGTCATCCGTCTATTCACACATATAACTTAAGCGTCAGTAAATAAAAAAAAACTACACGAGTGGGTGGCATAGATACTAGGAGATTAGGTGTGTGGTAGAGAGTTATTTAATTTACTAAAGACAAAATCCATTCATTCTTTGCCTAACATAAGACGGCGCTTCGATACCAGGAGATAATGTACACGTTAGAGGTATTCTTCCACTTAGACTTACACGCGAATTTCAACTTTATTGCAATCACTTTTATATTTCAAATTCAGAATTCCAAATTCATTATGTTAATAGCAATTTGCATATTACAAGAATTCTCTTTTTGAATTCTTTTCGAATATTTAATAAGATACGAGAAGTCTTGCTTGACACTATCTCATTAATATTACAAGCGACTCGCCCCGGCTTCGCACGGGTGCAATGCTGATACTAAATATATGTACCTACCTACTACAGAATGTCTTTATAAACAACGTTTACAGTTTTTTTGTCATTAGACAGTACAAACATGTTTTGTTTAGTGCCGCTGGCCGGGCCGGTACCGCCGCACCGCATGTCCCTGCATTTTAAATCTGTAATATCTTCGGAAATATTCATTTAAATTACATGCTGTAAACGGTCATATTGATCTCTATTAAATGGACAATGTATTTAAAGTACTTAATATTATAAAAAATTAATGCTGTATTACTTAAAATCACTTCGCAAATAAGCCATTGTTTCCCGTAAAATGTAAAGGATAAAAATGGTTATTGTGGGTTATCCTTAAGAGATAGACATATACCACAGCAGCCTTTTTTGTTGACCTTTGTAAGATGTTTAATACTGTAGTACATTATTTTGTTCTATCTCGTGGCGTTCGGCCAGCGTTTGTAATGTAACCGGATATTAATGAAACTTTACAATAATATAATTTATAGGTCACAATAAATTTTATTAAAAAATAAATTTTATACGAACGAAGTCGCTTCATAACTGCTAATATAAAATAATTAGGATATTGCCAATTGTCCTGCCTTTGTTTTTTTCATACTGCAAATAGAACTTTTTACTAGTCCGACTTATTTAACACTAAAAACTCATCCAGTAAATCACGCTTAATGATATTTGTCGAATTGTTCCAGGTACCTCCAATTGATTACCTCAGACAAGTCACCCTGGACCTCGGAGGAGAGGGGGTGTTAGGGGCTGTCAGTGAGAGGCATATGATCCGCAGGGCACCCCCCACTCACACCCAGCAAGCGAAGAGTACCGTCAGAGCGCTTATTAGAAGATTTAACGAGGTATGTACTTAGTAAGTGAGAGAGAACTACTTGTCTGCAGACAAGAGTTTTGGAGGAGAATAATTGTAAACATTGTGATAGAAAATAACTTTTTATCTATCTATCTATTGACATAACTCCACTAGACAACTCACCACTTGTATTCCCTTTAGATTAGGTTTTTTTATTAATTTGGGAGTTGGGCTATTGTCTGGTGCTTGGACCTGTAGCACTGCGACATACATAGATCTATTGTGCTCGCCCTTATTCAAAGTTCACTACCTAGACCCGTTAATACAATAATTTGAGAATATTCTTAGGAGCGATGGTTTTTATCTCCTCAGGAAAGCGTAAACTTTCCAAAGGAGATATTACTTTTATGCATGAGTGGACTACAACCCATATACATTTTTTTTAGTCGGTAACGACTTAGGCTTTGGCACCGGCTACCGTGGTGCAGGGAGAGAAATCCCAAGTAGCGCCCATGACTTGTGACATGTATAGGACCCTTTTAGAATGCAATAATCTAATAAATGCTTTCGCTACTTGCGGGACTCCCCCAGTCCTAACTAAATTCTAGATAACATGCGAATGCCTCCAATTTTTTGGAATTAAATTTGTTTGAAGAGAGAACTACTGGCAGGAGTTTTGCAGGACAATAATTGTAAACATTGTAAAAAATAAAGGATTTTATCTATCCATCTGTTAACATAACTCCAGTAAACAACTCGCTACTTGTATTCCGCTTACATTAGGTTATAGACTCTGGAGCCAGCTAACGTGGCGCAAAAAGAGTAACCCCAAGTAGCGCCCATGACTTGTGACAGTAGGTTCAAGGGCCCTATTAGAATGCATTAACACTCACCTTTGCTACTTGCGGCACCCTCCCCGTCCCAAATAAATCCGGGCTAAACCCGCCAAAACCCCTCACAATTTCCTTTATTTGTTTGGTAATAATCACTCTAACCTTCAACTCTCGGTACTTCAGTTCAATCCATCCATCATTTTGCCCACATAAATAATTTTGGCTCTGGCCTCTGACGTTCCGTTTCAGGTTACTCTAAATGCTTTAGATAAAGAAACGTGATTGGTATTGACTTTAGCATTTTTAATTAACGGTGCTTCACACCATTGAAAATGTCTAGATACAGTATTTTAAACTATTTATGTAAACATAGATGCCGTTACTACTATTATATCTATGCCTAAAAACAATACAATAAAAAGAAGTATATATGTATTACGAACTAACTAAATTATATGCGGTCGAAGTGGGAGCGAGAGTTATACCAGCGAAATCTCTCTACAATCCTTTAAAAGATCTTGGCCTGTCTAATGCCCAATTTACACTCAGCCCGAGTGGGTGGAAACACTTCCCATGCCATTGGCGCTGCCACTCGCGCTGCCCGGCGCTCCCTCGATTGTCGGTTTTTCGTGCGCGAGTCAAAGGACTGGCAGCGCAAGTGGCAGCGTGTTTTTACATTCAGCCCTCTCGCTCAGTTGTCGCCCGGCAATATTTCCGGCAGCGCGAGTGGCAGGGGAAGCGGCTAAATATAAAACTAAAATTAAAATGCTAAGAAGTTCGTGTCACAATAGGGTCAGGTATTATTAAAAGTTTTTTTCTGATCATCTGGATGAATAGCTGTCAGCCACCGTGCGTTTTTCCAGAAATTTTTTGCTATATTATCGAATACCGTCCAGCAATGGTATTTTAGAACCGATACGATATTGAAAACTTCCAAAGTGCTTATTCCTTCTTAAAAGGCCGGCACCACACTTGCAATTCCCCTGATATTGCGGGTGCTTATGGGCGGTGGTATTTAGTTACCATCAGGTGAGCTGCAAGCTCGTTTGTGTCCTATGCTATGAAAATCGGCTGAGATAGACAGTAGGGTAAAGCATTAATACAAAACTTGACGTTCTTGGAATTAATTATTTTTGATTACCTGACAATTTATTTATTTGGGTTATACTAAGCGATCTTTACAGTTTCCCAATATGTCCACTTAAGAAGATAGCATACATATATACACACTAGTTACAAGGAAAAAAACAATCTTAATTTTACGCATAAATAATCTGCTGCCATTGTACGAAACTCCAGCAAATTACAAGTAAATATGTCTAGATCTGAAAATAGAAATAATATTGCAGGCAGGCAGCGTTGTAGGATGTGCCTAGTCGATTATAAACATAACATTTTCCCTGATCTTAAATTATCTACGCGATTTATATTATTCAGAAGAAAATTGCTTATTTCCGCTGTAAGGTAGATGATGGATGAGCTTGCCAAAATTGCTTTATTTAAAATAATAAATAATAATCACCAGAGGTACATCCCCTCCGATCGATCCCCCGTCTAATTCAAACGGGGATCGAAATTGCGACGGCCTGAGCCGAGGTTCGAACCCCTAGTAGTGCCCTCAGACTAAAGTCGTATCCGTCAGGAGTTGTCCTTCAGCCGCTCCATAAGCCCTTCCGTGGGTTTGGGGTGCCATCTGCACTCGCCCCCTAACGTCCGGTGAAGCTGTAAAGGCCAGCTGCGGCCAACAGCATTAGAGTAGTCGGAAACAAAATAATAATAGAGGTACATAAATTGTAAGACGTGAGAAGTCATTCTGAGGACTAAGATATCATTCCTTGCATCCAGGAATTTCTCTACTCCATGTATATAGGCGACTGTTACCGTTTACCATCAGGTGTCAGTTAGTAGTATTTTTTTTTATAACACAGGGGACAAACGAGCATGCGGCTCACCTGATGGTAAGTGATTACCGCCGCCCATGAGCACCCGCAACACCAGGGGAATTGCAAGTACGTTGTCGGCCTTTTAAAAAGGAATAAGCTCTTTTCTTGAAGGTTTCAATATCGTATCGGTTCGAAAATACCATTGCTGGAAGGTGATTCCATAATGTGGTTGTGCGAGGCAAAAAGTTTCTAGAAAACCGCACTGTGGAAGACCGCCATTCATCCAGATGATCAGGATGGTATTTCAGTTTCTGGCGGGTGGTACGGTGGTGAAACTCAGCAGCTGGTATTAATCCGAACAATATATAAAAAAATCAATTATAAGTGCTGTTTTGAATGGATTTGAATGTTGGATTGTAATGGGAATGGAATGTGTGCATGTAGCATAAATGTGAATATTGAGATGTTATGGAGTAACCAAGAATGACAGAATAAGGAATGAGTATATACGAGGAAGTTTGAAAGTTGCGCCGGTTATAGAAAAGTTGCAAGGAAACAGATTCACTTGGGCATGTTATGCGGAGGAGCAAGGATCATGTCTTAAAGAAAGTGTGTAATATGTAATAATATAAATGACATAGTGGAGTAACTTGAAACAGTCTAGCTCGCTATAAAGTTTAAACTTGTGGCGCCGTGGTGGACCGGGTCGATGTGCTCCCTCTAATATGGCTGAGTGCAATGATGGCTGGCTCATCCGTCATACTCGTGAACGAGTGCTGCTTGTGGCGACTGGACTGTTCAGGTTACAAACACTTATTAATTTTTTTGCTTTTGCAATAGCCTATTTATTTATTTATTTAATTCAGGCTACATGGCCCATATTACAAATACCTTATAGACTAACATACATAAGAAATAATAATAAAACATGAAAAATAAAATTGTCTCTATGGTCACGGCACTGACGACGGCAATCTGCCACGGTAGCGCCGATAGACCACCCCCTTCGGCCAGTAGTCCTCCTTCATGAAGGTGGGCAGCATGTTGGTGGGGACCAGGGCCACGAACGCTTTGAAGCTCGCGTTGTGGCTCGATTCCAACTGCGTCACCCTCAATGTCAGGTTGCTTTTAGTCCGGATGTAGTCAACAATGTCCTGTTCCTTGGTAGCGTAGTGTAGGCGGGATAGGTACATTGCCGTGGTCGGTGTTGCGGCACGTAACAACAAGTTGGGCCCTGTCAGTGCTGTGCCACAATGGTTTCGATTGACCCTCTTTGTGCGCCTCTTCTTTTGTACCGTGACAAAACCATCATCGTCACGGTCAGCGGACTTTGTACACATGGGGGTAATTTTCAGAGTCACTTTAGGCTCATTCAGCCTATGCTAGTGATCACTCTATTCACCTAAATTTGAATTAAAAAATGAATCTGTATTATTGTAAACATGTACAACATTTATTTGAAAAGAATACGAGCTGAGTTTCTTGTCAGTTCTTCTCATCTCGAAATCATTCCGAACTGACGGTAGATTTGACATATCATAAGAGACTGTAATAGACCTACGTAAATGACTAGCTACTCGCTCCGGCTTCGCCCGGATGTACATGTATAATATTTATAATCCTTCCTCTAGAATCACTCTATCTATTAAAAAAAACCGGTTCAAAATCCATTGCGTAGTTTTAAAGATTTAAGCATACATAGGGACAGACAGCGACAGCGACTTTATTTTATACTATGTAATGAAGATATTTTGAATATGAATTTGTAGTATAAAAAAACATCTAAAATCTTCAAGCAAAACTCTTTCATAATCAAAACGAAGTGCCATACCACATTGGAAAAGCTTCGTATAACAGGTATATAGCAGACTAGCTGTACGCGCGTCTTCGTCCGCGTGGAATTTAACTTTATTTTTCTAAAATAAAAGCAGCCTAAGTTATTCCTTATTACATCAGCTACCTGCCAAAAAAAAGCCCCGTCAAAATCGGTCCAACCATTTCAGAAATTAGCCGAAACAAACAGACGGACAGACAAAGTAAAAAATAAGCCCCGTTAAAATCTGTCCAACCATTTCAGAGATTAGCCGGAACAAACAGACAGACAGACAAAGTAAAAAATGTTATTTCGGTGTATGTACCGTTTATATTCATATGCATTTAGTAAAAAACGGTTATTTCAATATTACAAACAGACACACCAATTTTATTTATTTGTATATATAGATGTGAGTACAAAATTCAACGTAAGAGCCTCTATGAGGTATGAGGAAATAAAATTATCGAGAAATGCGCGAGTAAATTCTTTCGATAATTACGTAGAACATCGAGTGAAG